CCAATCGAGATATATAAATACTTTTACCATATTTATTACATGTGCCTTAACATGCTTAAACATAATCGAGAAGAATATTAGGTAAAATCTATTTAACTAATTTAATTTGAATCATTTTGTAAATTATTTTTTAATCAAAACTTAATAATTGCGCTCAAATGATAAGGTATTGCTATGTGAGTGACAAGCAATTTTTTGTTATTCACCAAATACATTATGAAAGTAATTGAGTACTGTTTTAAATAAAATTATTTTTAGAAATTTTTATACTTTACAAACAATTTATCCATAAAAATACTTAAAATAATCAAAATTATTTAAAATATTTTCCCCTTGTTAATCATTTCCCTAATTCATTTTTTATTTTCCGGAGTTTCCCTATAAATTCCGTCCCGGCAACATGGGAATTTTAGGAGTTTTCAAATAATGACGATCATTAACTATATATAACTAGTTATAATTTACAGTATACTCTAGTTCAATTAAACCCTTTAATAATCTTAGGTAAAGAATCTTTACATTGAATCCTTTTTGTTAATTACTTTTATATTAAATATTGGTATAACTAAATGGAATTTTTCGGGAATAAAATTCCACAATAATAAAACAAGATAATCATCTATACCAAAGTATAGGTACTGTAGTAGAGGTGCTTTAGTATAGGTGCTTTATATGGCAGTATCTGGTAGTACAGTATTTGGTAGTACAATATCTGGTAGTACAGTATTTGGTAGTACAATATCTGGTAGTACAGTATTTGGTAGTACAATATCTGGTAGTATTCAGGATATCAAAGTTAGTATAAAATAACAATTCTTGCTTACAACATTACGATTATAATCACAAACGTGTTAGATTAAAGGTGGTAAAAAGTTTGACCATCAACGATATTAGGAATCACTATCGGCGCACATTTATTACAATGTATTATTATTATGTATGGTATTTGATGGCCGTAATTGCGGTAATCACTATACTATACAATTATATGCAAGTATTTAATTGCGGTAAATTAAATACCATATTAAACACCATATTTATTACAGGAAGTGGAGGCGTATACTGAGCTATTGGAAAAGGGTGAACATACCGGGCCCGACACCGGTGCCAATCTATGGCAACGTATTGGCGTTGAGTCTAAATCCCAGACCATATTTGGAGCTCAAGTGGTATAAAAAATATGGCCGAATATATGGGTAATAATTAATTTATTAACTAATTAATTAACACAAAATATTAGCATATCATTAGCTGAATAGACTGTATTTAGATTAGTAAATATAAAGTAAAATTATAAATTTTATAAACAGTGTTTACATCTACGGAAAGCCCAGTTTACGTGTGGCGGAGCCGTCACTAGTCAAACAAATCCTGGTCCAAAAGTTTAACTTGTTCAAAAACCGTGAAGCACCTAGCGGCGCCAAAGCTACCCTGATGTCCAAAATGCTTATACGGGCCCCGTATGAAGACTGGCGCCGCATACGGGCCATAGCGAGGCCCGCATTCACCGGCGGTAAACTCAAACGCTTGTATCCACTCATTGACCGGTGCTGTCGAGATTTGGTAGACAGACTGGACAGTCGGGTCGCCGCAAATGGATCGCCGGTAGCGCTGCGGCCGTTCATTTGCGAGTATATAATGAGTGCTTTAGGTCAATGCGCGTTTAGCACCAAGGTTAACACCGATCCCACCCACCTGTTCACTACCGAACCGGAGGGTTACTTTTCTGTGCTTCTATGGAATGCACTGGTAACCAATATCTTACCCGCGTGTTTAGTTGATAACCCTCTGGCCAAATGGTGGCACTCGGACTACCTGTATCACAGGGTCTTTACCACCGATCTGATGGCTGGCCGCCGCTGCGACGACGCGGACAAACGTCACGATTTCCTACAGTTCCTAATGAAAGGCAGCCACCGGACCGACGGTGCGGCCCATCCGGACGTCACCGGCATTACCGACGAAGAGATCTTTGCCCAGAGTTTTCTGTTTTTCGTCGCCGGTTACGACCCGACGGCCAACACTGTGTCGCACGCGTTGCACGAGTTGGCACTCAATCCCGATATTCAGGACCGGCTCCGGGAGGAGACCGCTATGAATTGGAATCCAGACATGGATTGCGATATCCTTTGCCGACTGCCATTCCTCGACGCCGTCGTATCGGAAACCCTACGAAAGTATCCGCCATTAGTTCGCGTGGAGAGGGAGACCGTGGAGGACGTAGTGCTCACCGACGATACCCAGGGATTGAGTGTAAAAATAGAGAAGGGAGTGGTAGTAGAGGTCCCGGTGTATGCCATACATCACGACCCCGATCACTATCCCGACCCGTCTGCCTTTAAACCCGACCGGTTTTTGCCCCAAAATCGCCATAACATCAAACCCTATACATACCTACCCTTTGGCGACGGACCCCGTAATTGCATTGGTATGCGCTTTGGGCTGTTGTTGACCAAATTGGCCCTGGTCAATGTTATACAACATTTTCGTTTATATCACGTAATTGATACCGATGCTAGTGTTAAATTTAAGCGTGGTAATTATGTGGTGCAATCCGATATCAGTCCAGTAGACCTTAAGAGGTGTTAGATTAAGACTTGTATTTTGTAGGTTAAGTTATTGTCAAAGTTGTTATGTAATCATAAGTTGCATATCAGCGATCTCTTAGGTTAAGTTGTTTTCAATAAATGTTATTTATGACAATAGGTTATTTAATAAATGTTTAATTTACATTATTTATAATAATATTATTAATTTGAATTTGTTACTTGTAAATTTAAATTTTATATTTCGAGCACATTTTCGTTGGGCAATAAATAATGAATACCATTTATTGGTATAGTTTAATTTTACAATTATAAATATTTTATCTTGTTTATCGATCCATTTTAAAACTTTGTTTTACAATTAAATTATAGATTAGTTTAATTTTAAAAAAATATGTGATACCAAATATTATATTTAACTCGTTTGACAAAATGAAATATTTTGCAAAAATAGTACTTATTTTTCAAAATAAATTTCAAAATCAACAATCTTTGAAATTAATGCCATGCCATAAAAGTCGGGCTGTAAACTATCGGGAACATGATATCGGTCCACTAGTTTTATCGGGTGGTCATTTGTATATTGTATAATGTTTACCATAATTAAAAATAAACTATTTATGGCCATATATTCTCCGATACACGTACGTCTACCGGCACCAAACGGTATATATGCTGATGATCCAATAGAAGTGAAATTACCTTGCTTATCAAGAAAACGTTCAGGCTTAAATTGGTCACCGTTTGAAAATAGTGTATTATTTGTTGATATATTCCACGAATGTTGGATGAGTATTGTTTGGCCGGGAACTTTGTATTTGCCGCCTAAGCAATATAAATATTAATTGCATTTCTATTAATTAAACATGGTTTTTAAATGGAGTATAACCAATTATGGTATCTGATGAAGTCAAATGCGGTGCCCCAATTGGTGCTGCGGTTCTAAAACGGGTGGTTTCGTATATGAATGCCATAACATTATGCATATGCTGTTTATCGGTCACAACCGGTGCCCTATCGCCCAGTCTATTGTTCACTTCATTTCTCATGATTTGCTGCCAATCGCTATAATATACCATAAATAGTATATTCCATACTAGAGTTGTATACATGGTCTCCAATCCCGCTGTTATAAAGAAATATTATTTAGATAATAACTTATCATTATGATTATTACATTATTATTGATAATAATATTCAGTGAACCTTAATAATAAGAAGCCTTAATTGATGCTATAAATTATTTTATATAGACTGAACTATATTTATAATTAATTGCAATGTAATAAGTTAATCAATACCGAAATACATGTCCACAACTACGGCCGCAATATTATTATCGTTTAAACATTCAAAGCCAGGCTTTCCCTCCGCCTCTGCCCGGCGTTTAGCGTCGATATACTGACTGCAAAAGTCTCGGCCATTACTCTCGTTGTAATTATTATCGCGTAATTTTAATTCATTTATTGCGTATTCAAAACATTTATTATATGTTTGTTGTAATTTTTGTAACGGATTGACCATAAAATATCGTGCAATGGGTATAAACTCGTATATGGGATACAAATGGTTAATCTCGTATGAGACGCAATGGCTTGGATATTGAAAATTTGCGTACATTTCCTGATTCAACCTAGATTATTAATATACAAATTATGATTATTTAATAATGTGTGCTATAATTATTGTGTTTATTTTACTTTACTTATGGTTAAAAACAGAGCCATTAAACATATTCATAATTAATTCGTGACAATAAGATTGCGGTTTAAACGGCCGATCGATTCCCTCTTTAGTCAACATTTGTGCAAAGATTTCATTAACAGTTTTGTTCAACAATTCCGCAAAATCCGGTGTATTTGTAAATCTCCTATTAAATGAATTCAGTTTATTAAAAATTTATTAAATTAATAACTAAAATTATGAAACATGATGAGAGAGTAATGTAAAATAAATCTACTACCGAATAGTAGACATGGACATTTTTCTCAACTGAAATGCACTTTCTAAGTGACTATTAAATCCCACATCTCTATGGTTGTCATCGTTGAAAATTGATCCTAATAATAATTTACAAAAACTTATTAATTTTATGTAATGCTCTATGTAAAATATAAACAGCACAAAGTGATTTATAACGCCTTAAAGTCAATCCATTATTTATAGTGTTTGTTGTAAATAATTTATTGTATGCAATATATTGTAATATTGTACAATATTACCGTATTGTATATTGTATGCAATTAAATAACTATTATAAATTATAATAGTAAGTTATAATAATTTATAATATTACCAAGCAAACATTGAATTTTTCCCGAGCATTCTTGTTTACTAAAAGCTTCTTTTACGATATCCGGATCACCGATAAATATGATAGGTATGGGACCGACCCATACGGTCACCACCGGTCCATACAGTTTGTATAGTTTTGATATTTCTTGGTTTATGTGTTGTTTCCTATTTCTAAATACTATTTAAATAAAAATTAATTAAGTGTTAATTAAAATTTTTTGCATACGTAGTTATTTAGTTGTAAAATTTATTAATATAAACATTATGACTAACAAATAATGATAATTAAATTATATGCATACATAGTATATTGCCAATTACTGGTAGTGGTATTGGACCAGGTGGATAGTTAGATAATTTTGAATAAAATCCTACCAGGTAAAATGCAATCAGTCCAAATATAAATGTAACGCCAATTTCTAACCATGTTTTACTATTAAATTAAAATAAGTTTTAATAATAATATAAATATATTACAATATACCTATTGCATATTTATATGTTAATTAAATATAGCAATACTCACATGAACATAGTCACTTATACAATTAGGAAAACTTGTAAATATTACCTTTAATAATTATAAAATCTAATTAAGTGCTATTTTTAAATGTGAATATTCATAAAAGTAAATAATTAAAAAGTTTATAACAGATGGTCATAAATTATACTGCATACTGGTACATGTATATTAAATAAAAATTTACTAACTTTAAACATCATTAGATGGTAGCAAAATAGTAGCAACATAATGCAATATATCAATACTGTTATACCAAAACAATTATAGTACAAACACTATTTAGTTAAACAAAAGAAAAAATTTAATATATTTTTGTTCAATGTTAATACAATGATAAATTGATAACATAATGATTTAATAAATCTGATGTTATTGATATAGCAATATTAACAATATTAGAAATATACTACATATAAATCCAACAAGTAACAAAATATAATAAATGTTTTTCAAGAATAAATAATAGTTAGGTTAATTA